TACTACTCAAGAACTGAGTGTGTTAATTTCATCAATACATGAATCAAAGTGTCAGGACAGTCTTGAGTGTGATGGCAAATGAAAGCATCCAAGCTAATCAATGAGTAAGTCAAGATATTACCCAGAATTTAACACAGAAGAACCTGCAAATTAAAACTCTGCTGATAAAGATGGGAAGATATTGTGGAAGTAACTCCTTTGAAGTCACTGCTTAGAATGGATGACCAATGTCCGAGGGTTCAGGATATGAACCAGAAGAAATGACTTAGTTCAGTCACCTTGGATACTGCAAAACAGAGTGCCTGCTTCAGCAGGGCAGCTGTTCTTTAGAAGAAAATGCATGAAATTAAAGGTCCTTCAGATACTAATGGAGCAATTGTCTGATGCCACAGTAAGAATATCCTCTGCGCAGTAAATCCAAGATATAAAAGATCCTCCAGCTCAAAACAATTTCCTGACCATTTTTTTGTCCATGTGACAACTATTATGTGCATTGCTTTAGGATATTGTGTTTTATAAAACTAAAATGCACAATACTTATTTTGTAAATGTGGCAAAGTTTAATGGTTTTGAGCATTGTCTTCAAATTGTCAAGATCAGAATTAAAGTTAACAGTCTTTAATGTAGAGAGCTACTAATCTTCCAAGTCTGAACAGTACACATTCTGAAAGTGCAGTACAAACTCCAGACTACCTGAATTTGTGAAGCCACAGATTTCAGAGGAGATGGAAATGTTGTAAAAGTAATTATATACCTGGAGGAACACAGCAGACCAGGCAGCATCAGAGGAGCAGGAAAATGACAGGGGTTCACCTGCACAACTGTTAACTTGGTGTACTGTATCTGCTGCTCCCGATGTGGCCTCCTTAAATCGGTGAGACCGTTGTGTAGAGCATTTGCGCCCTGCGTGCAACAAATGACAGCACCAACCATTTTAACTCCCCCTCCCACTCCCTGGGTGACAAGTCCATCCTGGTTCTCCTCCAGTGTCACAATGACACCACCTGCAAACTGGAAGAGCAACACGTCATATTCCGCCTCGGGAGCCTACAGCCTGATGACCTAACATGGAATTCACCAGTTTTAAAATCTCCCCACCCCCTGGCTTCATCCAATGTCCAACCCTCCCTCTCATCCCTACTTCCTTGACCTGACACAACCTGTCCATCTCCTCTCCCACCTACCCGCTCTTCCCATCCCACTGACCAATTCCGACCACTCCCTACCTGCACTCTCCGATCACCACCCCTCCTCTGTCTATTTATTTCTCAGCTCCCTTTCCCCTCCCCATTTCTGAAGAAGGGTCCTGACCTGAAACGTCAACTTTCCTGCTCCTCTAATGCTGCCTGGCCTGCTGTGTTCCTCCAGCTCCATACTGTGTTGTCTCTGACTCCAGCATCTGCAGTTCTTGCTATCTCTAATTATATACCTGAATGTGTAAATGTTCACAATGGAACAAAGGTTTTTTAGGAGATGTTGCTGAAGGGTGTAAAGGTTTGGAAGGGTTATTGCTGCGGAGTGCTTTATGCAGTTTGCACTGGGTAGATGTTGTGCGGCTTGGAACAGCTTAAGATCTTGAAGGGGTAAAATGTGCCATTTGGGTCTTCTTCCTAGTCTGTAGAACAATGGCTTAGGTACTACAGGGAGTGAGAATAAAAGTTATATTTGCCACTCCAGCTCTACACTTACAGGCAGAATTCCAATCCCAGCACTTTCTGAAATGTGCAGCAGAAATTAACACATTTCCCTCACACTGCAGAATAATCAGGGTGAAATCAAACCATGCCGTGTTTTGCAGCAGTCAGTTTGCCATCTTTTGAACTTTAAATGTCCAGCAGCACAGCTGGAAACTTTGAAAGTTGCTGTGAAAGGGTAAGTATGTATTATAAGTTTGGGATTAGGGTGGCAGATGGTTAAGGGTAATGGTGCCAGATGGGTACAGTGGCACAGCCAGGTAAGTAGGGTGTCATAGAGGTCTATAGCATGGAAACAGGCCCTTTGGCCGAACTTGCCCATGCTGCCCAGTTTTCACAATTAAACTAGTCCCATTTGCCTGCATTTGGTCTATATCCCTCCACACCCATCCCATCCATGTACCTGTCTAAACGTTTCTTAAATGACAAAATTGCACTTGCCTCTACCACTACCTCTGGCAGCCTGTTCCAGACACTCACCACTCCCTGTGTGAAAAAAATTGTCCCTTTGGACCCTTTTGTATCTCTCCCCTCTCACCTATGCCCTCTAGTTTTAGATTCCGCTACCTTTGAGAAAAACTGTTGGCTATCTACCTTATCTATGCCTCTCATGATTTTATAGACCTCTACAAAGTCACCCCTCAGTCTCCTACACTCCAGGGGAAAACAGTCCCAGCTTATCCAACCTCTCCATATAACTCAAACCTTCCTGTCCAGGTAGCCTTCTAGTAAATCTTTTCTGCACTCTTCCTGGTTTAATAATATCCTTTTCTACAGTAGGATGACGCAGTACTCCAAATGTAGCTTCAAATCTTGTACAGCCGCAACAAGACATTCCCAACTCCTACACTTAATGGTCTGACTGATGAAAGCAAGGTATGGTGACCCTCAGAACTTGCCGTCTCTCTCTAATGAGACTATGTCATCTTTACCTTTTACTCCAGACGAGGTCTCTCCCTGTATTACTGAAGGTTAACCTGCTAACTTTTGTATTCAGTTCCCCTTAATGATAAAAGAAAAAAAAAATTACGAGCTCTATCCACTTCTTCAGACTGAGACCTGGGAATTCACTGCTACTCCATAGGTGAGGATTGTTTGTGCAGGACGACAGAGCAGCAACAAGCGTGACGACAACTCAAACACCGGTTGTCCTGCATCTCCTAAACCTGGGTGTGTGTGGCCCGTATTACTATAGACCGCAGGCTGGATGGAGCGATGAGGAGTTTAGATACGATGTCTGAGGGGATCAAGGTGTTCGTCAACATCTCTATCTCTCAGCCCCACGATGCATTACCGGCAGCAGGTCAAATACAGGCAGTGCCCATTTCACCACACAGTTCACACCCAACTGAATCTACAGGGCGTTTATATTTAACGACCTGTCTTGAATTTGTTTGATGAGGCCAGTGTAGAGGCAGCTTTACTTTGTATCTCAACCCATCCTGTCCCTGTCCTAGAAACATAGAAAGTGGATGCAGGAATAGGCCATTTGGCCCTTCAAACCTGCACCACCATTCAATATGATCATGGCTGATCATGTAATCTCAGTATTCCATTCCGACTTTCTCTCCATACCCCTTGATCCCTTTAGCCGCAAGGGCCACGTCCAGCTCCCTCTTGAATACATCTAATGAACTGGCCCCAACTGCTTCCTGTAGGAGGGAATTCCACAGGTTTGCAACTCTGAGTGAAGAAATTCTTCCTCATCTCAGTCCTGAATGGCTTATCCCTTATTCTTAGACTGTGACCCCTAGTTCTGGACTTCCCCAAGATAGGGAACATTCTTCCCGCATCTAGCCTGTCCAGTCCCATCAGAATTTTATATTTTTCTATGAGATACCCCTTATTCTTCTAAATTCCAGCAAGTACAAGCCCAGTTGATCCAGTCTTTTCTCATATGTCAGTCCTGGAATCCCAGGAATCAGTCTGGTGAACCTTCACTGCACTCCCTCAATTGCAAAAATGTCCTTGCTCCAACTAGGAGACCAAAACTGCACACAATACTCAAGGTTTGGAATCCTCACCACCTGCTGTACCTGCATGCCAACATTCAGTGACTGTTCCATTATGACTCCCAGGTCTCGTTGCACCTCACCTTTTCCTAAACTGCTATCATTCAGTGTTCCACTGTCCTGGGAGTGTTTGATGGGGGAGACAGTGCAGAGAGAGCTTTACTGTGGATCTAACCCAGTGCTGTCCCTGTGCTGGGTGTGTTTCATGGGGGGGGGACAATGTAGAGGAAGCTTTATTCTGTATGTAATCCCATGTTGCCCATATCCTGGGAGTGTTTGATTGTGACAGTGTAGAGGAGGCTTTACTTTCTATTTACTTTCAAATTAGAAGAGTAGTGAGGGCTTCACTTAGTGTTTAAAAGAGTATAATGGGCTTTGCTTTCAGTTTAAAAGAGTAGAAGGAGCTTTGCCCTGTATCTAACACCATGCTGTCCCCATCCTGGGAATATTTAATGGGGACAGTACTGAGGAAGCTTTACTTTTTGTTTAAAAGAATAGAGACAGCATTACTCTGTATTTAACCCCTTGCTCTCCCTGTCTTGGGAATGTTTGATGGGGGACAGTGAAGAGTGAGTTTTATTCTGTTTCTAACCCCGTGCTGTCCCAATCGTGGGAGTGTTTGATGAGGACAGGTAGAGACAGCTTTCATTTCAGTTGAAGAGTAGAGGATGCTTCACTCTGCGCCTAACCCTGTGCTGTCCATGTTCTGGGGGTGTTTGATGGAGAGTGTCAAGGGGCATTTACTTTCTGTTTACTTTTTTTAAAAGAGTAGAGAGAGCTTTAACTTCAGAGATTTACTCTGTTGTCTAACCCTGTGCCGTCCCTGTCCAGAAGAGTTTGATGGGTCCAGTGTAGGGAGAGCTTTACTCTGTATCTCATCATAAACTATATCTGTCCTAGCAGTGTTTCATGGGGCAGTGTTGAAAAAGCTCTCTCTGCACTGTCTCCCCAATCAAACACTCCCAGGACTGACATATGAGAGAAGACTGGATCAACTGGGCTTGTATCTAGTCCCGTGTTGTCCTTGTCCTGGGTGGTGAAATGTTGGGGAACAAGATGGTGTGGAGGTACCAGACGGGAACAGTGTGGAAGGGCTGACTGGCCTCCCTCTCGCCGTGTTTTAAATCTTGCTGTGCCTTCCTTCTCTTTCTCCCAGCGTTGATCGGTCATATCCAGTAGCTGAAGAAGTCAGGCCCTCAGGTCGTCGACACTCACACAGCGGCGCGGGGTGGGGGGGAGGTGGCAACGTCACCGTCCTGTGCGATCTCCACGTCGTGCTCCGGGACTACCCGGGTGAAGCTGGGCCGCTCCCCGCGGGAGAACCAACACCTCGCGGGAGGCAAAAAACCCAGCGACCGTTGGCAGCGCGCGCCGACTGAGTCCGTGCACCTGCGCGACGACCGCCTGGAAGATTCTGGAAAGTACAGTGCGAGGTCATAACGGCGTGGAGGACGACAGGTACCATGGTGGAGCTCTCGCTGGACGGTAAGGGGGAAATTTGGGGATGGGGGACTGGCTGGGAGTAGTGGTTATCGTCGTCGACGACTCCTGGCGATGAGATTGGGAAAGTGGTCAGACAGGTAATGTGCCAAATGGGTAGGGTGCCAGGTAAGAAATATGCTACGGAAGTGACAGAGTGCATAAGATAGGTTCGGGCCGCGTTGGGGCGGTTGGTTGTTTCAGAGTTCGTGGCGGGTGTTTTTGGGGCCGGTGAAAGATAGTTCCAGAAGCTTGATTCACTAGCAATGAAGGAAGGACTTCACTGTTGACGAAGCTTCCACTTGAGTCAGGTGCATGCTTTAACCATGCCCCCCAAAACAAGTCAATGTGCCAGTAAAACAGCTCACATTCTGTTAGATGGAGTGAGTTAAAATCTCCCCTTACCATGTCGATCAACAAATCAGATGTCAGGATTATCTGAGTTAATGGCTAGGTAAAAATATTACATGTGGTATAAACTTACAGGCTGTCATTACCCTAGAACCTTTCAAAATGTCAGGAAAGTCGAGTAGTGGAATAGTTTTGTTTGATCGTTTAAAATATACTCAAATCCACAGCAAAGAACATGGGTTTGCATCAGTTGGTACACACACTGTTATTTATCACAATGCTTCTGATACAAAATATGCCTATTTGTTATGGAAGTTTTTATTTGCATCAGTCATGACAATTATCTGCAAATGATAGAACACTCACTATTTTACTGATGGTGTTGATTTATTGAAGATTACAAATATTTCAATTTAACAAAATGTAACAATTCCTTAATTGAACATAACTCAAACAATGCTCAGCCCAAGTTCTATTGACCTACTTTTGAGGCTAAGACATGCAATTAGCATTGTAGTGACCCTACTAATTGCACTGATCCATGTTTTCCAGCCCATGACTCTTGTTGATGTTTGTGGGGTCAGTAGGTGGAAAATATCTAAATTGGTTGGGCCAGCAAGTCATGTCTGTCTACTGGTGCAATCTGGACATGTATCTGCCATTTGGAGCTGGATATTCTGGCATTTGCACTCCTTGAGATGGGGTGATGGGGTGTTGGTGTGGGCTCAGTTACTCAGGTGCATCTATGTAGAGTTCAGTCCTAATCTTGATCGGCTTACAGGATTGCTTCAAGTGAGACCCCTTTCCAGCCATTATGCCTGAGCTCACTCAGTTTACCAACCTTTTCGGTCCTGACTAAACCAAGACATAGGAAGCTTCCAGCATACAAATCTCTGCACCCTGATACTCCCCCTCCTTGGACTATTCTGTTTGCGCAGAACGGTGCAGGCAGAGATTACCCTCTTTCAGAGAAATACTCAAACAGCAGAGATCCATCATAGTTTGTTTTCTATTGAGTTTTGCTGAGATCCTGCTGAAGTTAGGGTGTGAATCTGATGGAACCCGGAGAAAAGTCCAAGCCAGTAATTCTTTTGGCAACCCATGGGAGACTTAGATTTTTAAAATATTAACAGTGGAAGAATTTAATTGATTATTGCTCTCTTTCAATATTCAAATGATCTTGAGAATGACTCATAAATTATATTGGGAGTGATTCTACTTTGAGGCACACCACAGGCGAACAATGAGCAGAGTGTGCCTGCCACTGCCTGTTTGTCGCATTTACAACAAATGGCTGACACCAGGCATTAGTTCTTCTGCAGCTCAGTAGTGGTAGAGGGTAGCAGATCAGCTGGTTTCCACACTGAGATGCATGATTGTCAAAGTGGGCAGTAGGACTGAGAGTTATGACTGATGCATGGTAGGAATTCAGGTAAGACATGCCATCCAGCTATTTAGGTTGGTAAGAACTTCATAGATCTCATAAATCTGTTTCCATGCAGATCAGGGCAATGTATACCTGAGATACAAGGGATGATGCTGCTATTTCTAAAAGTAGCAAACACCTCTAAAGCTTCCAAATAAGTCATTCCAATTACAGTTAATGTATAAAGAAGGAAATGCTAAGAGCTCTCAACATTGGAGGCAGTAGCTGAAGCATCATAGCCTTGATCTATGGGAGACAAAGAACAACTTCAATCTCTTTCAGTGATGCACGATATCCAGTCATTTCAATTACTTCTTCCTCTAAAGGAACACAGAGCAAAAGATCTAAGTTCTGGGTCTCATATGCAATTTCCAAAAGTAAACAGTGATCTAAGAGCAAATCAGCAGGCATACATGAATCAAATCTACTGTGCCTGGAGTGTGCTCTTGACTTGATGTTGGATAATGGGGTTTAACTCTCCCTAACTGACAGGAGTGGCTGTATGATTAAAATTACCTTGGTAAACTCAAGTTCCAATCTGGTTATTTCTTAACTTGGGAAAACTAGAATCATTCCCTACCATTAGGACATTGATGCCATTTCAACCATAATTCAGTGAGATGCCTGGCTAATATATGTTTATGAGATTATGGGACCGTGAATACTCCAAGCTCCAGAAGTGAAATGTTATGATCTAGTATCTAACCCTTTCACATAAGACAGCCTGCCTATTTTCTTTGCAGCTTAACGAAGCATGTCTTCAATGTGGCCTGAATTTTGCCTGTATGGCTCGTCAGTGGAAAGTGAATGATGCCTGCATTAAAGAAGTCAGACCTGAAATTGATGACTGGGGTGTGGTATGAGTGGTTAAATGTCGTTTGGCCCAATGTCCAATCAAAAGTCAATTCTAAATAAGACGGCTTTTTTTTTGCTGTTGGAGCTGAAGGTAGTGCAGTTGAAAGTGTTTTAGTCACAATATACTGAAGACAGAAATAGGAACATTAATGTAATGGGTCAATAGAGGATTTAGGAAAATATATTATTGAAGAGAACAAACGCCCAGCTTCAGCATCTTAAAAAGAGGCTCAGCAATAGAATCCTCCACTGTGGCTGGCTTTCCTCCTTTTCTCGGTAATTGTTACTTGTGCCTCAATGAATGGCAAACATCTGAAGAATCCAGAGTCCTATTCCGTTGCTGAACTTGTTGCAGGGTTGTTCTGGCCACCTCAGTAGTGGATGTCCATGAATATTGTTGTGGCAGTGTGATGGCAAATCATTTCCCTTCATTACGGGGGCATGACTGCCCTGTTTCTACTCAATGAAAAGGCAGAAAATTAATCCCAATATTTTTAACACTTTGTAGACCAGAATGGCATTGTTGTACTAACCCAGTATTTTTGTTCACCAAGTGATACATTTTATAGATTTAATCCAAAAGACCCTCCTGGCTATTAATTTAAACAATCAAGAAAACCTGTTTAGTACACATACAAATTTCTGATACGTGCTTACTGTGAGAAAACTTTCCATTAACTTTGTATTGCACAGTGGTCAATGCCATTATGTTTCTACAATGATATTAAATTGTTGTAGGATGCAAATAAGATTAGCTTGTCAAAGCTTTGTTGAGCTGATATACAATATTCAGTTCTGCATCTTGATAATTTTTTGACTGTTAATAGGTAACTATCTTTGCCTTCAATAAACCTATGGCTACAGTCTGCAAAGATGAACTTACAGCACTATTCAGTTCAAGGACGCAATGTCCTGTTTCAATCGACTGATGTATGAAATATAAAAGTAGGGAAATTTAATGAGATAGAACAACAAAATTGATTGTCTAGAAAAAGCACTTGAAAGGACACTTAAAATAACATGTCAATCACTCTGTCTTAGCAGGTTATCTAATGCTTTGTCATTTAATATGGCAACATGAATACCGAATGCCACAGGAACCATATACACATCATTAGATAATCAAGCTGACAAGAATAGGATTATAGAGGACTTCAGGCTAACCAGTTTTTACACATGAAACAATTGTAGACCATTGTCTCCTCTGCTATATCATACAGCAGATTTGTTCATTAAAAACTATAAATTTGGCATTAGATATGATAATATTCTTATTTCACCCATAAAAACATTCAATCACTGCAATATTAAATTTTTGCAATGGTGCCCTCATGTAACTGATATATTTTTCAATTAAGTCCATTGAGTTTGCTTATATTTACTTGTAGCATTCAAAGTTTACCTTGCTATGTTTTTTCTTAACTTCTGTTAGCTAGTATTGAAGAAAAAGAACAGAAGCAGAGTTTTCCATTTTTAACAAGTCTTAAGATGATTGTTAATAATGCACAACAATCTCAGATATGCTTTTCTACTTAAGTACTTACTTTAATCACAATCGAGTAAGTTATTTTTTCACATTTGAGTATTGAGTCATCAGCCAGATACTTTCTAAAATATATTCCATACCTTAGTATCTTTACTTATGACTTGATGATATATAAGTAGGTGCAATGGGAAAAATATTTCATTTTCCTGCGCAAATGCTTCACCTTAACGGGTATTACATATAAAAATAATATTCAGAACACATCTAAAGCTTTTTAACATGTACAATTGTTTGAAAAAATATTTAATTTCTTGGAATAATATAACTTCCTTTTGCAAATTGAAACAGGAATAGCATACCTCAGCATCTAACTGGGTACCTTACAGTACTTTGGACCTAACATTGAGTGCAACAACTTTGGATCATAAGCTTTATCCTTATTAGTATAGAGGATTGCACAGGACATGCAGCACAGAAATGCGTCATTTGACTGAAGCAGGTGTTTATCCTCTATCCGAGCTTCCTCCCATCTTTTTTCATCCTAATTTACCATCATAAGCCTCTGTTACCTTCTCCCACAAAAGCTGGTCTAACTTTCCCTAAAATCTATGTATACTACTGAATTCATTGTGGGGAGGCAATACCTTAGTGGTATCATCACTGGATTGTTAATCCAGAGATCCAGATAATATCACAGGCTCATAATTCTGCCACGGCAGTTGGTGGAATTTGAATTCAATAAAATCTCACTAAATAAAGAGTCTAACGATGACCATAAATCTATTGCTGATTGTTGAGGAAAATCCCACCATATTCACTAATGCCTTTTAGGTAAGAAACTGCCATCTTTACATGGTCTGGCCTACATGTGTGACTCTAGATCTGTAG